CCCCCCCCCCCCTTGACATTTGGCTGCCTTCTCGGCCTGGTGGATGAGCTTTGGACAAAGTGCCGCCTTTGCAATGCAAAGGAGTGTCAGAAAATGTGTAGCAGTCTGGCCACAGTGCAGACACCAGAGCCTGCTCTCTGCGTCTCCTGTTCCAGGCCTCGCTGAAATCCTGAGTGCTGCTCATTTGCTGCGCTACGAACGGGATCCTCTTTAAGCACCAAGTGCAAGCTTGGGTTACAAATGGCTTTTGCAGGCATGGGGTTAGAATTGCTTTCCCCATTCACAGCATGCAGGAGAAAAGGTTTTGGACCAGATTGTGTCCTGACAAAATTTCAATTGTGCTGGAGCCTAGTGGTTTAATTGTACTTAGGTTAGGGTCTGTGCTCTGCTGAATAGTTCAGAGAAAATAATGTTGCTGGACTAAATAGACATGTCTACATGTGCAAATAGTGCACATGAAGAAACTCTTGGGGCTTATTACTCTGGAGTTTTTTGCTCCTGGGTGCACCATTTGAACATGTGCCTGGGAGCAATTACCTCTGAAGCAATTGGCTCTGGAATTTATCCATGTGCAGCGTATGGAGCCTAATCAGGGCAGCCCCAGCTGGCAAGCAGCCCCAGGGGTCAGCCTGCCAGCCCGGGGCTGCTCTAACCAGGCTCACTGTGCTGTGGAGGGGCTGGCTGGGGCAGGAGGGTGCTTCAGCATGGGGCTAGCCTGCAGGCAGCCTCTGTGCTGAAGCACCCTCATGCCTGAGCCAACCCCATCAGCATGTGCATTGCTGCACATGAAAAAACTGCACAGGAGTTTATTGCCCTGTATTTACAAGTGTTACCGTGCTGCAGAGTTTATTAATTTCCTGTGCCCTAATCCCCACATGTAGATGCTGAGACATTGACTGCAGAGCTAATTAGTCAGCTGGTGTAGACACACTCAGGATGATCTTTTGTGAAGTATCTTGTTAATGGTTTGATTTGATTTCTTCCTCTTCCCACTGATGTCCCTGCCCTGATGAATTTTATTGTCTTTCCAGCCCCTGAAAACCAGATCACAATGTGGATGGTTTTGTTTTTTTAAATGTGTTTGGGAGTCATTTATTTCCTAGTGGTGAACAGAAAGATGGGATTGAAAGTAGAAGGATAACAAGAGTTATGGAATACTGAATTGCAAGGAAAGGATGGCCCTGCAGGGAGTGCTGAATGAGAGCATGTTCTGTAATGCTTGAGTTTATTTTTCTAATGGCTATGAAGCTATAAGCACAGAACCTTGGGAGGGCTCCAAGTCTGCTACTCTGATGCCTACTGTTTTTAAAAGAACCTCCCTTATTAGCCTGATAACACAGACCACATTTAAAGTTTTCTCATGCTTGTGAGAGAATCTCCAAGTTTTTCTTCCTGTCGGTTACAGGCTTGGCACTGGCTCTTTGCCCATCCTGGGGAGATGGTTCTGCCCAGGACCCTCCCTTACATATTTTTTCTTACCTGTTTGGCAGTATTTGCATAGCTTGTTGGGACAGGAATGTGTTTTCCGAAGGGAGCCAACCTCCTCGGCAGGCATGCCACGCACCCTCCCAAAATGCCACTCCAGTCCTCTTCCCCTGCGTGATCTGCTGCTCTGCTCTCTGCTTCCTTCCCTGTGCTATTTGCTTGATCTGCTTGCTTTCTGCTTCCTACTTTTCGGGGTCTGTTCTCCCTGTCCCCCTCCTAACCTGCCATGTCGCACACACAGGCTGCCCGTGGCACTTATGCAGCTGGCTGGCCATCCCTGTTTTATGGCCTGTCCAACTTGAGGAGTTCTTGAACCTGACAAGAACCTTTGAGAGCTGCCACAGTAGAACAGATTACTAGTAATGGTCAATTCAATGGCATTTTTATTGATGGTAATGGTGAACTTTATATTTTTTCTTTTCCCTGTTTTAGATAATCCCCTGATTCTCATAGGAAACCTGCATGTTTTCAAGAGCTCAATCCTGAAGAATGTCGAGCACTATGGCCCCGATCCGCTGAGCTAATCAAGCATGTGCTTGCCAGTTAAACAAACAACTGAATTTGGGCCGGCATGCTCAGTCCCTTGCAAAACTTCTCTTTGAAGGAGAAGGCCATTCTAGAGGAATAAAAATGGGGCCTGGGAATTTTACATATGAGAATAAAAGGGTGTGTGAGTGAAAGAGATAACAAATCAATGCTGCTGCTGGAGGTTACCTGAAAAACCCCCCCAAAAAAAACAGGTTTGCTGTTGTCTGGTAATTCTGAGTGTGAGTGGAACCACAGCACAAGCAAAATTCAGTTGCCTGCTGTTGCTGAGATGAGTTTCTATATCCTAGTCCAACTGCTTGAATTGATATAATTCTGTTTTTGACAGTGACTCTGCAATTCTGGGTCTGTAATGTAACACTTGCCATTTGTGGTTTTGGAGAAGGAGGCCTGTGGCTCAAAGCCTAGTATTTAACTGGTGTGGGTGATTAAACAGCAGTGAGCTAAAATGAAACAAGATGACAAAATCCCCCATGCATTTTTGTTTTGTTTAATTTAGAAAGAGAGTTATGAAGTTGTTGTTAAGCTTTTATTATGATGTAGCTCTGCTTTTGGCAAACCCACAAACCCACTCTAATACGGTTTGTCTGCCAAAGAAGCAGGTAATTTTCTCAATGTGATAAGCATAACCAAGGCAAAGTTCTATCTTAAGGCTGTTGTATAGTGATTTTTATCTGCTATGTTTAATCTTACGTTGTGTTATGTAAGAAGCATCACTTGTGCCACGTGACTTGTAAGGGGGAGCATCCAGAAGCAGTTTGTTTTGATTGAAAGAGCAAGACTGCTGAGCTAGGTTAATTTTTTGTTTTCAAATGTTCACTGGTTAGTCTATGACTTGCCTCCAGTCTAAGCTCTTTCCCTCTGTCTGCTTCAAGGTTTTTATTATAGCTGGGGCCAGGGGCAGATCTAGGGCTTACACTAGTGCACTCACACCCTCCCTCTGATTTCGTCAGTTGAATTCATGGTTTATTACAAATCTACCTAGTTCCTTCTGAATTCCTTATTTCATGGGTGTTAATGATCCTCTCTCCTTTTTAATGATCTTGATGTTCCACTAATCAAGCTAGCCTTTCTTCTGCAATTCTGTTATTCCTTAGTTGCTTCTGGTAGCTCCTATTTCAAAGCCTTCCAAACTGTTTTTAACTCATTCCAATAAAGCTAAGGGACCTGAACCTGTTCAGCCTCCACAAGAGAAGGCTGAGGGGGGATCTAGTGGCTGTTTAAAAACTAGTCAGAGGGGTCCAGCAGGCATTGGGCGAGTCCCTGTTCCGCCGAGCACTACCAGGAGTGACTAGAAATAACGGTCACAAGCTGGCAGAGGGTAGATTTAGGCTAGATATCAGGAGGCGCTACTTCACTGTCAGGGCGGCTAGGATCTGGAACCAACTTCCAAGGGAAGTGGTGCTGGCTCCTGCCCTGGGGGTCTTTAAGAAGAGGCTTGATGCCTACCTGTCTGGAGTCATTTGAGCCCAGTTTTTCTCCTGCCCGGGCAGGGGGTCGGACTTGAAGATGTCCAAGGTCCCTTCCGACCCGACTTCTATGATATGATTCTATGATCTGCTCAGGTCCCTTCCAGCCCTGCAAACAAACTATAAAGTTCTATTTGTTTTTGTTTTGATCTTAAACTGAATAATATAGCCCTAGGCCCCTGGCATATTAATAAAGTTTCTAGTTTCTTTTTACCTGCAGAAAAATATATGCTGTGTTATATAGGATGATGCACCACACCACCCATATCCCCCTTTTCAAAATCCTAGATCTGCCCATGCTGGGGGCCTCTCTACATACACACCTGAACTGTTTATTTAAAAATGGGATTTCTTTTTTTCTTTTTTTATCTGAACAGCTGGGATATACTTACCTGAATTTAACGCAGAAAGAACAGGCATACATCAATACCTGAAACCACTGTGTTTCAGTTGAATCAATTTGAAATAAGTTAAATCTGTTCAAGTCTGTGTGCTGACTAGACCTGAGCCTCTCATTTTTACTTTCTCCTACCAGAAATGTGTCAGTCACAACTGCTAATCTCCTCTGCATTCAGTGGGAACAAGTACACCTTTCTGCCAGCTTTTATCACAGATGCCACCCCAACAAAATATATGACATAGAAAGGACCTTGGTAGAGCATAGTTCTTGGGGAAGCCTGTGAGCCAGTGAACTGTGCCAGGAACCAAGCTGAGAGTCCACTTTTTCCAGTAGTTAGCCATGGGCAAGCCACTTGATTTTTGGTGCGTTGTATAATTGAAAGAATAATACTTCTCTTGCTCTGACTAGTAAAGTATATTCTGAGTTTTACAGATGAATAGTATAGTTCTCCATACTTACGTTTTGAGTAGAGAAACATCAGGTCTATTGTAAGTATAGACAAGAGTAATCTGCTCTAATACAGAACTGGATAATGAAAATGAAGGTCTAGGGTTACTTAAAATTAAAGACAGAAGTTTCCTGGTTTCTTCTTGTAACGCTCTCTCATTAAAAAGTCTCTTCTAACTTGTCAGACTAGTCCCAAAAAAGCTGATTTGTTGATTCTCATGCAAAGTGAGGACATGCCAGAAATCATGTCCCTGCTCACTACGCCAGTTTTACCAGCTCCATAACTGCTTACATGCAATCCTCCTCATCTGGGCAAGATGGCAGAATAGAACATTTTGCTGTCCTTAGGCCAGAAGTTCTTAAACAAAACATTTACAGTTCCTTTGCCAGAATAGCTGTAAAATCCTGGAGCATTAAAAAGGCAGGGGAAAATTGTAACGCTTCCATTTCAAATCGCAAAGTATTTGGATGTACTAATCCAAGGTTGAAGATGATTATTGATCCAGGGAAAAGCTTGCATCCACATCTTCCCCTATTGGATGAGATCACTGAGAGAGAATTAGTCTTTTAACTCTGGAATCCTCTAGGGGCACATCTGCACCCCCTCTTCTCAGATGTCTTTTTTTTCCAGAACCAGAATGTGATTATTTCAATCCCCAGTAATTTCAGATTGGTCCTTGGCTGATGCGACTGACACAGACTGACTGCTCTGAGGGAGTCGCAAAGAGAGCATAAAATTACCTGTGGCATTAGTGGTCTTCCTAGAGGCTTCTAATGGCTGTGTGTGGTATCCAGATGTTACAGCAATACCTATAAGAGGCAAAGCTGGGAAGGATGCTAAGTACCCACTCCAGCAAAGCACTTAAGCCCATGAGAATGCCTGCTGCCTTCAGGTGGATTTTTTGCATGCTTGAAGTAAAGTATATCCCATTCTCAGGCCAAGGCTGAAGGGACTTGTACACTTTACCTCCTCTTTGGCAGTCAGATCTTAGTATTGTTGACTCTGATCCACCAGATCTAAGTTGTGGACCTGCCTTTTGGACAAAATTTTAGCTGCAGGCAGGACTCGGAAACTGCGCAGACAGGATCTAATTGATTCGTTTCTTTTAAATGGTGTGGGAAATACACCCATATGTGAAGTGTTCACGGAACACATTGGATTAATAGCTTTGGAAACTGACATTCTTCATCCTGAAAAAGTGTGGCACAGACACTATTGGGAACAAATTCCCAAGCTGATCTTCAGTCTTGATCTTTACAGCCAGGAAGGCAGAGCAGCTGGAAAATTGTCTTTGGAAGCTCCTGTCTGGGGATGTGGCTCCTGGTTCATCTGGATCTGAACTGAGATTACCAGTGTACCAAACACCCACAAAATGGTAACAGCTTGTAGCCACTGTTCACCTAGCCTGGTGCTTCATAGATGAATACCCTGATTTGCAGTAATAAGAGATCCAAAGCTCACAGCTGGATGCTGTCTGATTGAAGACAGGTCTATAGAAAAGGGGGAGCAGCAGATTTTAAGGACATTTTTCTTCATCTCCCCAAATTTAAGGGATTGGATACAATTAGTATTTTCTATAGATTGTTTTTTTTGGAGTTTATGTTCTAGAAAGTAGTTGACATGAACATTGGAATAAATGCCTTTCCACAGTTTATACGTATTTCCATTCAGCATCTCTCCAGTGTCTTGCTGTGTGTGTGTAGTGGAGGAGGTTAGATCAGCTCTTCTAATTAGCATGGCTAATTTATTCCTAATAAGGGTGTAGCTTTTACAGCCTGGCTAAAAGCTTATTGCCCATGAGAGATTTCCTTCAGGGAGAGGGTTAGTGCTGCTGGCCTACCTTGGCCTTTTTTTATGATGGAGGAGTTTGATAGGGGAGTCAGCACAGCAACACTGCTCCCTGGTAGAGGCTGATGGTAAGGTCCATTGAGTCATAGTACGCCTTGGCTGCCCAGTCTATACCCTTTCTCCAACCCCTCCTTGCCAGCTGCTCATAGGAGGCAGAACAGAAAAAGAGGAGGTTGCTGCAGTTTTCTGTCTCTGCGACTTTACTTCAGATTTATCCCACTTCCTCCATGTATTCCCTACCGGTGGTGGGCCACCAGCAGCAAAGCCCAGTGCAGGTTCTGGCATGAATCTGGTCCTTGCCTCCATCCTGTTGAAGCCCTCCAGAATGTCTTCACTAAGAGGGAGTCATCCTGGGAAAGACGGACAAAACTCTTGAGGTAGAAGCGATATCTTTTATTCGACCAACTAAATAGTAGCAAAAAATTTCTGTGCTACTATTTAGTTGGTCGAATAAAAGATATTGCCTCTACCCCAAGAGTTTTATCTGCCTATGCTTTTAGACCAACGTGGCCCAAACCAATATTCCTCACCCTGGAAAAAGTATTCTTGGAAGTACTCCAGGGTCTTGTTCTTCACAGCAGCAGCTTGTCCTATGTTCTGGTGACTATTGGTAAATATACCAGCGTCTGGGCTAGTGCGGCAAAGATGTTGGTGTATCTGTTTTGTTCGTGGAGTCTTTGCCAAGTGCCAGCCTTGCATTTTTTTTTTCCTGGGAGCAATATCTTCTAAAGTCAATATTGTGTTTCAGGATAGGGATTTTGTGGCAGCTGTGACTATTTGTTCTACTTTCTTCTACCTTGGAATTGTTCCTCTTATGCAAAAATAGTAGTCCCAGCCAGAAACATTGTTTAAAATCCTGAACCTGTGTCCCCTTCTTTCAAAATGAATGTGCTCAAAATCTGGCTGGACACAGCAAATACAGCTTTTCCCTCTTAACAGTTCTGTTATTTCTGGTTAAGCAGAAATAACATCCCTGTGACCAAGTGTAGTTAGTAGTGCTAGTCTGTGGGGTTTGTTGTGAAGCAGACTTCACTGGCCCTGTAAGAAAGGGGATGATGAGGGAGTTTGTAGGGCAGTCAGTATCAGGAGAGGGAGTGTGTGTTTGTGGGGGGAGGAAGATATCCTCTTATCCATGAAATAGGATATAAGGAAGGAGATTGTCTCATGGGAGGGTTTATTGAGGAGTGTGTGAACTAATGAGTAGGGAGTTTCTCTGAAGGAGTAAGGCTTCTTGTAAGCAGCAATCTGCTTTTATTTATATAAATATGAAAAACCACTCCCGCCTAGATATAGAAATATAGGTGGGAGTGGTGTTTTATTTTAATCTCAAAAAATGTGTATTTTGGGTTACTTTTTTTAATCCAAAAATTGAGGATTTTTTTTTTTAATCAGAGAAAACCAGGATCCGTGTTTATAATCTTGTTGGTTTACTGGGGAGCAGTTCTATGGGTTCTTCCCTCCCTGCAATACACAGTCTTTTGTAATGTATATACATATCACTCCATGTTCAGCTGGTAGAGACACAGCAGTGATTCTCAAAGGCTTTGTGAGAAAGACAGCAAAATCTGAAGAGGTCTAGAGTTACTCTTGGAAAACGCCTTCTGCCTTCTTCACTTCCAAATACATTGCACGGAGTGCCTTTGTGGAAACAGAAGGCAGTGTTCAAAGCCCTCTCTCCTTGCCTCTTATCGTTACAGTGAACAATCTGTATTCTTTGTGCCTTGCAGCTGTCTATCGATGAAGCTGGTGATATTGGTTCCATTATGGTGAACACGATGTTGCTCTTCCTTAAGAAGACTTTCATAACATTTTAATGTATTTTCCCTTTTTTCTTTTTTTGAAGGAGAAGGGGGAAAAAACCTTTACTGGAGCCTCTTGAAGCAAGAAGGCTAAAGAGGTGTGGTGGTAAGTACCAGGTGCAGAATTGTTTCTAAGCTACACCCTCCTTGTACAGCAAGTCATAGTAATAAAATAACCATATCCCTTTCCTGTTAACAAACTCTGCCTCCTTTCTTCTGGGACACTCAAGAGGCATTGGCATTGCTACACCACAGGGTTCTCGTTGGACTTGCTTTGTAAACTAGGATTATTTCCTCTTAAATTCTGTTGGCTCCCAGCCTCCAGTGACACCACACACCCGTTCTCACCGAATGCATGCCAGCTTTCTTAGTGATCCTTTACGCAACAATTTGTACACCAAGAGGAGTCACAAAACCCTCTGTAAAAGACGTTTCTTGTATTGCCCCAAATGTACCAAAAATGGCATCATCTCAGGATATTCCAAGAATAAGTGAGTGTTGGGTTCCACTGGGTAGCTGAGATATCCCCTTTTCTACTGATGAGACTGAAATCTTTTAGCCCCGTGTGCTTGTGACAGATTAGACCTTATTGGTACCTGTCTGATGAGCCTTAAGACTGAATTTGTCCTGTGCTGGGCCTCAGACTTATGTAGTTTTTAATTTGGGATGGGATGAGAAAAAGAAAGAAACACTTGACTAAAAGGTTTTAGGTTTGTGGCTTGTTTTATGTTTGTTCTAAATGGTGACTATTTAAACCTGTTTAGGGATTTGGAGCATTCCTGAATCATTGTCAGGGAAGGTAGCTAGTGGGCAGAAGGTAAGTGATCAATGGTGTGTGCTGAATTGCAGACTCCTATACTGAAGTTCATGTATCACGTGGTTCCACCCTCTCATTGCTCTTCCATTGATCAGACAAATATACAGAGGGTGTGTCTCTTTTTACATAAAGTTTGTTTTGTGGTTGAACCAGAGACTAAGCTCCACACTGGGGCCTTGTTCCAGGTGCTGTACAAACATGAAAGTAGATGTGGAACCTACCACAACATGATTACAGAATCTAATTAAAAAAATAAGAAAAAGCGCAGACATTTTGAAAGACTTGAGCCAGATGTACATCTCTGCAGACATGGGAAATCCCCTTTGTGCAGCTGGACTTGGAGATACTAGCTCATTCTGTTACAGGCATAATTTAATTTATAAAACACCAAGACTGTTTTTAGATCTCATTTCCTAACACCTAAATTTTTTTTGTATGCTGCATGCAGTTCTACTGGATTCATACAGGCAGCACTAATTTAACAGTAGGAAGAATTTGCTACAGGTTTGTCTTGTGATTGGACTCCTCCTATGGAGGAAAAGCAGAATGGGAAGAACATTGCCAGTGTTTTCTTTAAGAAGTCATTTCTCAAATTGTTCCCTTGCTGGGTGCCTCTTGTAACACTTATTTGGCTGGTTCATCAAGGGTGCTTCTTCAACGGAGATGAAGGATGGCATTGAATAGGATGAGTACTATCAAAAGAACTTCAGTTGTTCACCTCTGTGAGGGAATCTCCCAACTATTATGTAGTAGTTCAGATTTGGCTTAATTTGGTACCTCTACTGCCCAGCTCTTCCTAATGCTGTATGTTTGCATGTCTTGTCCGCTTTGTTTTGCAGCATCTTGGCTCATTAAAAGCAGCGCACGTGTCTTACACCCAGTAAAAAGTTTGCCTGGCTCAACATTTTAACCTTCATACCCTGAAGCCTTGGAGAACTCATTCTTCTTTGTGAACAGTAGCAAAAAGAGACTCTGGAGTGAATTGAGTCTCTTGTGTATTAAATCCACGCTTAGGAACATGTTGAAATCAGCACTAAGGAGATCTGGTGCCGTGCTTGAGGTACTCAGTCTGATGGGATTCGTTCTGCGGAAGCTTTCTCTTAAGATCTGGCTTTGCTGGCATTATTTTATTGTTTCAGGATGTGAGAAGGTCACAACCCATAGGAAATGTAGCTGTGCCAGCAAAACCCCTTGTTTGGATGCAGCTCTGCTGGTAGACGTGGCTTAACTAATGCTGTTCGTGGTGGTATCGTAACTTGCTACCAGCTGAAAATCCATTCCTACTTCAGACAACATGGCTGTGATAGGAGGCACTACTGATGTAACTCTGCCAGCATTGCTTATAGCAGCAGCAGCTATAACCCAAGGGCTATAGTTCAATGAAAATGAAATGAATCTCTAAGACATAAAGGGGAAGGGCCGTTAAGCTTGAACATAATGTTAGCAGATGACCTGGCAATCTTGTTAAGATGCAAAGCGAGAAGGTAAATGAAACAGAGCTTGGGTAAAGGGCCTTTTTGTTAAGCACAGCTTGACCCAGAGACCTATTGTAACCACTCTTGTAGAGTGCTTTGCCCCTCATCCATAACTGTAGTTTGTCTAACAATTGAGCTACTTCATTCAAAAGCACTAAATTCTGCTCTGCACCAAAATCAGTGGGGCTTCACAGGTTAATCGGGATAGAACTTGGTCTAGATGTGGACTTAATATGCTTTCATTGAGACAGTGGAAACAAATTCATGAGCACAGATGTTTTATTGTTGGGGTACATATCTTGAACATGCTACAGACCTTCAAGCAGGCTAATTGATCTGAGAGAGAAAATAAAGAGCTGGAATATGAGAGTCGGGCACCTCAGGCATGAAAACAGCGTCAGTGATGTTCAAATTTTAGGCTGGCTTGGGGCCAAGGTGGCTCCAATGTGTAACAAGATCAGTTATTGTGTAATTTTGCCTTTTTAGCTGCTTTATCACAAAATCAGCCCTTACAAGAATTTAGCTCCACCCTAACCATTACTAGAAAACAGATGTCTTCTAGTACTGGCTCTGACATGGAACTAAGCTCATACAAGAAAAAGAGAATTTAGATTTCTCCATCCAGTAACAATTTCAAAAAGTTTGAAGTTCTGGTTTTAGCACAGCTCTAGAAAACAGCTTCCAGAGCAAAAGGCAAACAATGATGTCCATCTAATGCAGTGAACGTGTAATCTTTTTTGACAGAATCTTTAACGATTCATAATCTTTCAAGCTAGGGGAGTGCTTAATGTCAACTTCCATGTAAGGTAGTTAGAAAATACAGGAGTTCATTTTCTAAAGTGTTTAAGTGATGCTGTAGCCATGATAGTCTAGGAAATGTGCATGAGGCAAAAATGTTTGTGGATGATCTGTTTTTATTGGACTAACTGCATGGTTGGAATAGACATAGGTAAGTTTTCAGGTATCATAATACTCTTCCTCAAGTCTGTTCCTCAGGTCTATCCCAGACATGCAGTCGATCCAATGAAAGAGATCATCCACAAAAAATCTTACTCTCATTTTTTTAAAGCCATTTCACTGGGCCTTTTTTAGACACAACTTCATCTAAAGACCTGTTTTAACCATCTCTGTGGAACGGACTCCCATATTCCACGTTAGTGAGACGTTGGACAGTGAGTGAGTATTTCAGGAAATGTATTTAGTGGAAAAAAATCTCTTGTAAACCTCTGTAAAACCCTCCATGAGAACCTGCCCTTGTTTACTATCCTGTGTGGTGTGGTGAAAGAACTTCAGGTAGGGGGTTGGTTTGAATTTGTGCGTGAGTTTTTATTTGTTTTGAACAATTTTCCATATGCTCAGACCCATTTCCCTCATTACCTTGCTGAAGAGACTGAGAAGAACCATTTGGCTAGAGACATGCATTGCATATAAACTGGTATAAGCGGTCAGAAACCAGTCCAGACTTGTAACAGAACAGAAGTTCAGTGCACGTAGACTGGCTTCAAAATGGCAGAACACCATTAAAGATAGACTAGGATGGATGTAGTATCAGATTTAAGCAGTTTAGGGTAAACTGGTCTATCAGACTTCTGTGTCAGATTCCCTCCCAACTGAAGTTAGGATGCAGTCCCCCAGCATCCCAGGATGCTTTGCAGCTTATCCTCTCCCCCTCCCTTACTAATGGGCAGGCTAATCTCTGCCTACTACACTCCTGTGTTCCAGCTGAGCTAGGCTGGCCCTGCCTTCGGGCTGGCACAGAGCTGAGGCAGCAAAGCCTTTGCTCCCTAGCCCTGCATCCTGCCTCCTTTTCAGCCCAGTGGGGGAAAGGCAGGAAAGCAGAGCCCCCCCAGCCTGGCCCCAGGCTCCCCTCAAGTTGGGGTCTACCCAGCTAGGAGCAGCTCTACACTGGAGGGGTTCCCCCACTCCTCCCGCTGCCGGCAGGGCTGGCTGCACAGCTCTGCCCCCTATAAGTCTCAGTCTCTGACCCACAGGGGGAGAGGGAAACAAAAGGCTGAAGGAGGTCTCTCAGGCCATTGAGTCTGGTCTTCTGTATTCAGCAGTCACTGGTGAACCAAGGGGTTTATCAAAATTGCCGCTTTAAATCTTCATTCCCTACTCCCAAGATTGATTGATTGATTTTAAGGACTTTTTTTGT